GTTGACCAATCACCTCTGAGGTTTGGCACCAAGAATCCAACAATACAAAGTAAACAACGGACCGAGCTGCTCGACTTCGCTGTCGGGTTTTCGTGGAACCCGGAGCTGCCAGTCGGTTACAGAAGCGTCGGTGTTCATCGCTACAGTTTGAAACCTGCTGGAGAGCCGAGGAAAGGTCGGACGTGAAGTTGTTGCCGTGCTACGAAGCTGCAGCTGCAAAAACTCGCTGACAATCATCTCAAACAAAGAGATTCAAGCACATGTGCTCTGTGAACACTGGAAACCTGAAGCGCCCGATGACTGGAGCTGCTGGAGCTGCTGGTGCTGTTTTCAACCTGAACTCATGACATCAGATGGTTTTCATGTTGTGTAGTGATGGTAGTTGTTGTTTCTGGCTCCAGTTATCGGTCGGAGCTGCTGTTTGTGTTGCTGGAGACCCGAGGAAGTGAAGAGTTTAGCATGAAGTTATTTGGATCACAGCTTTTTTTTTTTTGAGAAACAACAGCAGGTTAAAAAAAAAAGCTTTGATTCCTTCAGAGGACGAAGCTGCAGCTACAAAAGCTCGACTACAATCATCTAAAATGTGGGAGATTCACACAGAGATTCAAGCACTTGTGCTCTGAGAACACTGGAAACCTGAAGCGCCTGATGACTGGAGCTGCTGGGATTGCTGGTGCACGCTTTGCTAAACTTTAATTCATGATATCAGATGATTTTCTAGTTGTTGTTGTTACGACGTCGGCTGCAGTCGGAGCTTCAGTTTTAGACAACGAAACCTGAAAAATCAGTCACATCTGCACACAGTTGTCAGAATAATTTAAAATGCAGCAGAGAAACGTGTTTACTGACTGATTTTTACTGTTTTTATTGAATCTAAAGGAGACGTTTGACATTTTGCATGATGGTTTTTGAGACTATGAATATAAATTTGATGATATTTACAAACTAAAACCTGCAGACTTGCAAAAGGAAACACGAAGGACTTTAAATTCTGCTGTGAATTCTGAACATTTTCTTGAATTTAAAGCCACTAAAGTCACAGAACGCACAATGAGGAGACTCGTTAAATATCCACGATGCACTTTTAAAAAAAATAGGCAAACCAAACTTTAACTGGTTTGATAGAAACTTGGATTTCTGTTGAAGTTGCTCTGCTGAGTTAAACAACACGTTTAAATCAACAACTTTCAGTCTGTAGCTATAAGACGGACTTAAAGTAAAGAAGTAGTTTTGCTTTTGTGGCTTAAAATGATCGTTATGTAGCTGAAAGATGAATTAACAGAAACTGGACGCAGCCTGAGCTGAATGACTGATGAACATCCACCTCAGAATAAATGATAAATATGCAGCAACAGGCAACAGTCTGGCAGGTACCAGGCAGCAGGACCGAACCAGAACCAGAACCAGACACGTGTGAGGCGCGCCGACGTGGACAAAGGTGAGCTGAAAGGGGAGCCGGTGGAGGTTCGGTGGAGCTGGCAGAGGCTGAAAGAGCGACGAGCTACCGGAGGACAAAGGCGGCCGTCGGAGCAGAACTGTGACATTTCGCTGAGCGAATCCGGACCCAGCGGGCGGAATAATGAGGAGAGGTTTGATAACGCTGCTGTTTGCTCGGCGAGGAAATCAGAAACAAGTCAAAGCCAGGAGCCAGGAAGTGTCTGTCAGCTCCAGACTTATAAAACGAGAAGAAGCTGCCATTTATGGAGACGTTTAGTGCTGATATGAGATCTTTGTGCTGGTGGAGACCAAAGCAGAGCTAAAAGGAGCCATTACAGATGATTATAAACCTCCTTTATGCTCATTATTAGTCCTATAATTAGGCTTTTAATCAGGTTTTTATGTAAATACCTGCACAGTTTTGCACCTTATTTCTATATTTATAAAACCAATCAGTCAAAGTGTCCGACAGCAAAGACAAACTAAAACCACGACACAGAAACAGGTTCAAGCAGAAGTTGTACTCTTTTACTTTGAAAATCCCTGTTCTGTGTTCTTCCTGAGTGTCCCGTTCCTCTTTTATTATCATTATTATAATAACCTATGGCGCCTCTAGCAGCTTGTTCTGCTCCAGATGTGGGTCTTTCTGTCATTCTGTCGCCTGCTGACTCCTAAACTGCTGCTGCAGCTTTAACCGGGTCGCTGCTCGACCCCGACATCAGGCCCGGGCTGTAAACCCGGGCTCCTGGTGCGGTTCTGGCCCGAATAACCGGCGTTCAGACAAACGTGTCCTCCGGCGGCGTGCTGGGCGTCACCTTGGTGCTGGCGGCGCTCCAGTCGAGCTGTTTACACGGACCTGGAACCGAGTCGTCCATTAATGAAGCAGATTATTCTGGTGCCGCCTGCGGAGCCGCAGGAAGAAAAAAAATAATCAGGAAAAAAGAAATGAACCCGTTAAGACTCGTCACACACGTCAGGGGTAATAAAGTAAAGATTAAAGAACGTGTTCACAGATTAAAACTCATTATACGACTAATTAAGTCACTTTATAATCACATGATTCTCTCCAAGCTGCCACCAAATCTGAATAAAACACTACGGATTGAAAAAGACGTCGTGTTTTCTGGCTTTTCAGCTGTTCATTGGAGGGTCTAATCTGCCCGCTCTGCTCACGGCGACCAGCTGGTGACTTGCAGCTGATTGGCTGATTGATTCTGGGCTACACTTACTTTCAAAATAAAAGCTTCTGTTTTAACCGGTGCAGCTTTTCGAGTTGGTTTAACAGATCAGGGAAACGTGCATCCAGCTTCTCCACAACGAGCATAATTCAGACTAAATGTGGCTCCATGTGCACAAGAATGAATCAGACGTAAGAGCTCAGTTGTTAAGATTTGTTGAGATTTATTTATTTGGTTAAAGAAAAACGACAGCAGCAGCTCTTCTGTCATGTCATATCATACATGAGCCTTAAAATAAAGCAGCCAGACGTGGACTGAACCTCCTCGTTCTCTGGATGCTGTCGTGTCTGAACAGTCGCGGCTCTGCGGCGCGTTCGAGACGTTTTCCTGTTTCGACATTAAACTGAATTTATGCAAAAACACGCGACGCATGAATGAATAAATCTGCCGCACGAGAAGGATCCGACATACGAGGGAATAAATGAATGAAGCAGATTTATTAAATCCTCTCCTGCTGTCTGACTTTTCTTTATTTTATTCTAACGAACAAAGATGCTAACGGCCTGTTTACCTTCAGACCAGATAAGAGCTGCTCACATCCTCCTCTTCAGATGATCCACCTCGTCGCATGTTTGGGGAAAATAAAAAAGCAGAAACCTGCGTGTCATGGCGGACGACGTGTTCTGGCTCCAGGATGAAGGTCTATCGTGGCCTCGTGAAGGATCACAATCAGGAAAACGAGCCAAAGCAGATGCGCGGTGCTAAACGGTGAACGTATTGTTGTGTTTGAAGCGATTAAAACTCATTTAGGTTTTTGGTTTTTGTGCGTTTCAGCGACGCGTCTGCAGCAGGAGACCTCGGCCGAGTCCCAGCCTGACTGAAGGAGAGTCATGTAATATTAAAATTATATAAAAATAGTTCCTGAAACACGCGTGTAGATAACGTGTCATCATTTGTCACAGTAAACACAGGTTCATGTTGACCTGCGCTGTTAAAAAATACGAAGAAAAATCTGTTAAAAACGGTAAAAATCTGGCAGTAAATGAAGAAAAAAAAGAAACAGTGAGAACTTAATCATGTAGAGACGTACGTTTTATAGAGTCAGAAGTATATATTAAATCTAATAATATTAAATTAAATTAAATGAGTTCAGACAACTTCTAATGAAATTATGTTCAACCAACAAACTAGATTGAGTCGAAGGAATTCACTTATTTTTCTACAATTAAATGTAATTGTAATTATTTATTGATTGTCATAAACACACGTTTTCATGAAAATGGAATTATTCCGACAAGTATTTAGACTTTATTTAAAATGATTTTTTAACGTTTCATGAACTTAATATTAATAATAAAAATATCAAATCCACTATTTTAGTTTCAGTAAATTAAAAACTTTGAGTCGTCGGTAGGAAATCCTGAACAGCCTCCAGATGTTTACATCAGACCTGTGAGGAGCACCGATGATCCACCATCATGTCTGCTGACTGAGATTTAATGTTTTTAGCCGTCAGAAGGATCAATAAACACGAAACACACAAAAAGTGAATTTTCTGGTGATGATGTCACGGTTCAGGCTTCACAGGGTTCAGCTGCGTCCACTTTAGCTTCAGGTCGACGGAAGCAGAACATTTGTGTTGATTCAACGTCAGCTCGTCGACCGAACCCGTCACAGAAATGTGAGGAACTTTAATTGAGCGTCTGAACCAGGAAGTGAGACGTTCGATCGGCCAATCAGGCGTTAATCAACAGGGCAGGTGAGTGACTGGACAGTTTGTGGACACTGTGTGATGGAAGCTCAGCAGCAGCCACTCCTCCTGCTTCACCTGCTTCACCTGGTCGCTCAGGTGGATCACACTCAGGTGAGTCACACTCAGGTGAGTCACACTCAGGTGGATCCGAGGAATGACACAAAACAAAACCACAACAACAACAACCGACTGGTCTGACGTACGTTTGTTTTCTTTTCTGCCTTTGAGTCCACGTCAGCCGGTAGCCCGATACGGACCGGGAGACAAAAGGCGTGGACGTAACCCGAGCCCTCCCTCCCGTCGCCATGACGACCACAGCAGGGCCTCAGAGGCTCCGCCCACTAGAGGAAGGAGGGGTTGAGGGGGGATTCACAACCTGGCAACCCGGAAATTAATGCAATCAACTTATTTAGCTGAAAATAATGAGGTGGGAGCGACTCGGCCTCCTCATAATCCTCCTCCACCTCCTCCTCCACCGCCGCCACGGCCTCCTGCTGCCGGCGTGCAGCTGGGCGTGTTGCCGCCGCCGCTGCCAGGTGCAGGAGCAGGTCGAGCAGGTTTGCTCCCTGAACGCCTCCTCCTCCTCCTCCTCCTCCTCCTCCTCCTCCCTCCGTCTGCAGGCCGACTGCTGATTCACTCGGCGCTGGCAGCTCTCAGAGCACCTGTTCTCATCTGATAGAGCCAGAATAAGGTAAGGATTTACCCCAGGATTTATTCTGCGTCTTTCATGTTCTCAGGCAACGTCTGAGGCTGGTTTCACCTCCAAATGTGATTTCATGAGATTTAACCTGATGTTATATTGGGAGTAATTAAAAAAAACTCACAAATCATATTTTGGTCTAAAGACACATTTGGCATCTTGTAGCAGCGACAACGTGAATAAATTTGAATTAGGAGCAGCAAAACCTGACAGGTAGACCTTAGGTTTAGGCCTTTGTTGT